TTTTTTAGGCAGGGTCTCGCTATGCAGTTCAGGCTGGCCTTGAACTCACTTTGTAGCCCAGGCTGGTCTTGAACTCACAATGATTCTCCTGCATCAGCCTCTCGAGTGCTGGGATTACAGGCGTGCGCCACCACGCCTGGCCTGAGGTGTATTTTCAAACAAGCTGCTTAGCAGTTCCCGGAGGCACATCAGATGAGCACAGTAGCACTTTGCAGTTGAGAATTTCATGTTCAGTGAAACCCAGATACCGAGTCAAAGCCCCAGTGGCAGAGCACCCAGAACAGGGTAGGCTTCCCCACAGCAGGGAGGGGGAGGATGCAAGCCAGGGTGCCACGTCCCAGCGCGACCATAATAACCTGGTGTTTCTCCTTTGCAGGAGGAGCTAGCAAACACGATTTCCCAACTCATCCACGTGGTCAACAACTCAGAGGCTCGTAAGTCCTGATATTTTCACAGCTTTCCCCACTCCTCGCTCATCGATCTGGTGACTTGCCCAGGAAATCGAGTCAGTATGCTTTCTTCTTCCTTCAGAGTTTCCGCTCCCCAGAGTGCTAGCTGGGGCTGATACTGTGTGTGTGTTGCCTGATGAGCTGTTCTCCGTTTTAAATGTGTGCTAGATCCCGATTCTCCGAGGGCAAGGAGGTGTCTTGTAGAGCATCACTGGGCATTTAAATGTTAGCATCAGCAATCCCCTCACTTTAACACGTTCAGAGGCCATAGGTTCATATACCAGCGCTTGCAGTAATCTCAGGTGCCTGGTGCATCTCCCCCAGGATTAGAAACATCGCTGGCAATAAGTAATAAAATAGAGGACATCAATAGTAGTAAACTGTGAAGTAATTCCTCTGTATCAAAAAGAAAAGACAAAGGCGAAAATGAAGATTTCTGCGATGGGCTTTGATCACTTACAAGGGAAGACAGGACAGCAGGGTTGCTCTGCTTAGCACTCAGAACAAAGCCACCAAGTGACTTGGGTCTCTAACTTAGCTAACTTGGAATGAACAAGATTCTAGTGTGACGTATAGGATAGGTTTGCATATATTAAAAATCATGTGGAAAAAGACAGTAAATTCAAAATAAGTAAAAATAAAGAAATTCAATGAAAGAGTACCATAGTTCGTACTATAGCTCACCTGCATGACCCCTTAACAGCCAACAAAATGCTTTGATTTTACATGAATTGCAGAAGCTTCATCACGATAGTATTTTTAAATTAATGGTTTTAGATTGATGTTTGGTGTGGGTGCGTTGGAAAGGACCAGGAGATCAGTCAGGGGATCTTGATTTTAATAGGAACAAGGCAGTGGATAAATAGAAATGCCCCAACATGCATTCTGATTGAGAGGTAGCACCCCCGTTCCTGTTACTATGTTCTTGTGTAAAAATAAGGAAAATGATTGAATGTTCAGTTATTGGCCAAAGGTTCTAGCTGCCCAAGAATTCATGACACAAGTGAATAGACATTAGTTTGTTTTCTGCAGAACACCTGTTCATTCAGACCTTTTGGCAGACAATAAATCGAGAATGGAAGGAGATAGACAAGCTACGCCTGGACAAATACTACATGGTAAGGCCAGTAAGGTGCCGTGGAGGGCAGGGCTGCAGCTCCGAGGGAGCACCTTTGTCTACCATGCACAAGGCCCTGGGTTCCATCCCCAGCACTGCATGAGGGGAGGGGAGACTGAGGCAGGAGAATCGAAAGTTTGGGTGCAGCTCACGCAGCTCAGCAACTCTGTCTCAAAATTTTCAAAAGGGCTGGGGATGTAGCTCAGTTTGAAGGTGCTGAGTTCAATCCTATTGAAAAAAAGCAAGCTTGTGTCAAGCCTTCTGCACATGTGCCAGTAGGAAGCCATGCAGTCATGGACAGCACTGAGGGAATGCTGAAGGCATTGCTGCTGCAGCCCTGATCTGGAAATTGAATTTGCTTATCCAGGCTGGTTATCATCCCTCTCCAGGCTGAGGCCTGGCTCGGGGGCAGGATGCTTTCCTAGTATGTGTGAGACACTGGCTTTGATCCCCAGCACCACTGTACTTTTTTTTTCCTTTCTCTTCTCTAACAAAACTTGTCTGTGTTTAGCTGATCCGCCTGGTCCTGAGGCAGTCCTTTGAAGTTCTGAAGCAGAATGGCTGGCAAGAAAGGTTAGGAAACTGCTTGAGTTCCTAAACTTGATGGCCTTGAACACTTGTAAAGACTGGAGGTGCAGCTCTGTGGTGGAACACACTCGCCTAGAGTGCCCGAGGCCCTGGTTTTGATCCCTTGCACAATGGGTAAAAATTGTAGGATAATTTTTGCACCTACTACGAAACGTGTTCTTACCCAGAGAGGACTTAATTTCCAGTAGAGAGGCATAAAATAATTACACCCATATGACAAGTTAACATTTTATAGTGATGTAATTAGTCATGTTTTCCTGTCATGCAGGGTAAGCACTAAATATTGTTCTGTCTTGGAGAACAGAGAGGAGTTGGCGTGCTGTCTTTAAAAGACCACATGTGTCTTTCTCTTCAGCCGAATCCAGCTTTTCCTAGATGTCCTGATGAAAGAGCTCCTGTGTCCCGAGAGTCAGTCTCCGGATGATGTCAGGTTCCATTTCATTGACATTTACCTGGACGAACTGTCCCGAGTCGGAGGGCAAGAGGTAAGAAGCAGGTGGATGTTCTGCCCGCGGTGTGATGAGGCCGCAGGTGCTGTGGGCATTGTCACTAAAACATCATTGCCTGTGGGCACTCAGTACCAATGACGCAGGTAAATTAATTCACACATAAATTAATTCAGCCACTCCCCACCTGGAGTGTGACCTAAGCAGCTAGTGGGACGTGTGGACAGAGCTTTATACGCTAAGGATGTACATGACAGTCTTAATACTACTTTTTTTTTGTTTTGTTTTTTTGGTACTGGGACTCTAACTCCGAACCTTGCACTTCCCAGGCAGGTGCTGTGCAGCTGAGCTATATCCTTGACCTACATGATAGTCTTCTAAACAAAACTGAGCCAGGCACAGTGACCCATACCTATAGCCTCAGGAGGCTGAGACAGGGTGATTGCTTGAGCCCAGGAGTTCAGGGCCATACTGGGTAACATAGTAGAGTCTGACTCTTAAATAAAAAATATTTCAAAAGAAGAACAGAATTGAATGCAACCTACAGAGCCCAATAAAGTAATGTGGAGAACCCTCAGGATATACTAAGGACTTGGGGAGCAGTAGCGAGAAAAAGCAGGAGGCAAGGCTATGCAAATGGTGTCTTTGTTTATGCTCACGCACAGAAAAGGGCTGGCCAGGAGAAGTACATTCTTAGCACGTGAGCTCTTTTTACTTTTTCTTTCACAAATACTCTGTGGTGAACTCTTTTTTTTAATTGAAATGTTATACTGTGTTAAAACCAGAATGCCTCCGTGTCACACTGGAGATACCACCCGGAAGAGCGCATGTGTGCCGTGCCACAGGCTGAGGCCTGGCTGGGGGGCAGGATGCTTTCCTAGTATGTGTACTGGGCTGTCCGTCCTCGGGGTCGCTGGGCTGAGATGCCTGGTGGGGAAGGGTGGCCCAGCCCCCGGCAGCTCAGAGGACGTGCGCTCAGGTCTGTGTGAGAGGCACGTCTGTGTCTGGTTCCTCCTAGGAGAAATGCACATTGTTCCCTTACAAGGTGTGAGGAAGGAGAAGGATTTTGTTTTCCTAATTGTTTGCTATCTACATTTACAGCTGTTGGCAGATCAGAACCTCAAGTTTATTGACCCGTTCTGCAGGATTGCTGCCAAGACTAAGGAGTAGGTGTTTTCACTGCGGGGTTGATCTTCAGGGGTCTGTGAGAGACAGGGCCGGGCGGCGGGTGGCTGCCCCGAGTGGAGACTCCGTGCTTTGGTTCCCAGTGGCGAGACCTTTGAAGGGTGGAGCCTCCATTTGGCCTCCCGCTCCCAGAGCGCTGCCTGCCTCACACCCGCGGCTTCCATGCACAGCACTTGGGGCTCCTAGCGACTGCGGTTGATCCCATGCACGTGTCACATTAGGGCTGCATGTGCCCACCAGCCTGGTGATGCCCTCGTACTGGGCCCACCACAGTCACAGCTGCAGTGCCCCCTGTGCTGCTTGTCCCCCTGTGCTCCTTCAGAGGGGTCCAGACCATCACTGTGACCTCATTCTCGTCCTGTGCTTCTACCCGCCAGCCACACCCTGATGCAGACAATAGCTCGGGGTGTTTTTGAAGTCATCGCAGATCAGTCTTCCTTGGCACTTGAAGAGACAGTGGAGGAACAGAAAACGAATGGGGTGGACGACGACCTCTCTGGAGAAGAGATTCCTGGAAATGAGACACTGTGCAAAAAGGCAGTGGGGAAGAGGTCAGGTGAGACAATTCCTTTCAGTGTTTTTGTTGTTTGTTTGTCTATTGTTTTTATTTTGAGACTCCACCTCCCTAGGTTGTCCAGGATATCCTTGAACTTTGAATCCTCCTGCCTCAGCCTCCCAAGTAACTGGCCGTATAGGTGTGCACCACCATACCTGGCTCTTGTCTCTGTCTTTCTGCTTTGGTTTTTTGTTTCCTTTCGTAAATTCTCATCAAGCAAACACTGAGCGTACCCTGGAGTTGGTGCATAGAAGGGGCTCTGCCCGGGACTCCAGAGAATGGAAATGGGGTGCCTGTTGGGGGTGCTGAGGGGACCTGAGACCCCGGCATGTGAAGTCACACACATTGTGTCTCCTGGGATGACACAGCAGCACCCTGCGAGGGTTTTGCTCTTGGTGCTGTTGTACTGGGGTTGCACTGTGCTCGGTGTGTGTGGACCCTTGCTCTGCGTGCACCTGGAAGAGCCTCCTGCGCAGGAGACCGCTGTGCAGTCGTCGGGAGCACGAGCTTGCTTCTCCGCTCTCCTTCCCCAACTCCTGGCTTCCCGAAGGTTCTCTCTCGGATGTTTAAACTCCTGCATGGGCGGATGCAGTTCCCAGTGCTGCTTTCTGTCCTGGTGGCTTGTGGCATCTCTGTGCCCCAAAGCGAAGTGTCAGGTCAGAATTCACCTTCTGAAATACTTTCTATTCACTGAGAAGCAGTTCCCAAAAACTAATGGCCCCTGGCAATCCAGTAACTTTTTTTTAAAAGCAAGACACAAAACAGTGAGTAGAAGGAGACCAATACTTACCTGTACCTTTAAAAATCCAGAAGAAAACAGAGCCTGGTGGCATGTGGTTAATCGTAGCGCATGGCTGAAGCAGGAGGATTGCTAGTTGGAGGCCAGCCTGGGCTACACGGCAAGACTTTGTCTCAAAACAGTGAAATTAAAATTCTTTAAAAAGTAATTTGGAATGATAGACCAAAATGCTTTTGTGACAGAATTATGGGTGCTTCCTGGCAGCCTTGTGAGAAGTTAGTGCACTGCCAGGAGTTAGGCATTGTGCCGACACAATACCCATAAAGTTCTGGGTTTTGAAACGTTTTCCATTTTTGGATAAGGGATGCTCAACTGTAAAATCTGCAGATATCTAAAATCCCGAGTTCTTTCTTTTTCTTTCTTTTTTTTTTTTTAAATCCCAAGAGTTCTTAAACCCAAACCACTTCTGGTCCCAAGTTTTTCTAGTAAGGGCTGCTCAGCCCGCGGAGCAGGTTTCACCGTGGTCCTGAGCTCGCTGGCTCCGGCGGCCGTCCCCCAAGCGCCTGCCCTCCACGCGCTCTGGAGTGGCTCAGCCCTGGTCCACTGGCTGAAGTCCCTGGACTTAGGCTGAAGGACAGAGTGTGTGGTAAGGAGTGCCAGGGGCTTTTGTGGCTCTGTCTCCCGCATAACTGTGATAGCAAAAGCACAGCATATGTCTTCTCCCAGAGGAACCCTCGTTCCTGGGGGCCGAATGACCAGAGTGTCTTTAGGGGGTTGTGAGTGCAGGGCAGGGTTTCTCCCTTTGAAGAAATTTCTTTTGTCATTGAAAGGCCCCTAGGTAGACACGACCTGTGGGGAGGTGGGCCTGGCTGTGTACTTCCCATGTCAAGGATTTCGTCTTTGGGTGTGTTTTGACAGTACCGGGCAAGTGCCACTCCAGGAGAGATGGGATCCGTGGTGACAGAGAAGGACATGACTGTGGAACCCTCGCGGACATGGGGCTGCTTCTCCAGGTGGGGCGGCTGTTGCTGTTTATAGAATAGAGATTTACATGGGGGGGGCAGCTGGCTGGAGAATTAGGGTCAGAGCTGATAAGCTGCAGAGCCTGAGGTATAAGTCCTTATAATCCGTTTTGTCACTGATGTCACCTTCCTTAGAATGAGCTCATTGGAGACTAGGCATGGTGGCACATGCCTGTGATCCCAGTATTCTGGGAGGCTGAGGCAGGAGGATTGCAAGTTCCAGCCCATCCTGGGCAACTCAGCAATTTACTGAGGCCTTGTCTCAAAAAGTAAAAAAGGGTTGAGGGTATATAGCTTAGTGGAAAGGCCCTGGGTTTGACCCCTGGCACTGCAAGAAGCGACAAGGAAAGAAAAGAAAAAACAGCTTATTTACTGGAGACAAGTTTGAATGGGATAGAATTTGAAAAACCTTGAGTCTTTGAATTTTGAGTTGCTAAGGGCCAGGGATATAGCTCAGCGGCGTAAGCGCCTGCCTGGCAAGCGGAAGATCCTGAGTTCAATTCCCGGTACAAAAAAAACAAAGAAAGCCTGAATTTTGAGTTGCCGAGATCTGTTACATTTTATACAGCAGCACTTTTCAAATAACCAAGTTTCCTTTGTTACCAAATACAGATTGGAAATCTAGATTTCTAAAAAGAAACACATGTAGGCAAATTTTGTTGCATGTATTATGTCAGAACTGAAAAGAGCAACCCGGTGGCGGAGCCTGCTCCCAGCACAGAGGGTCTGTTTATACTAAGGGTCATGCCTCCACGCCAGGCAGTGCTGTGTAGCACCAGCTTATGCTGTGTTTCTGTTCTTCGTAGTTTGACTATAAGGCCGTTGCTGACCGACTCCTAGAAGTAACCAGCAGGAAAAACATCCCTCCCTTCAACCGGAAACGCCTCTGCAAGCTAATCAGGAAGTAAGTGGCTGGGTGGAAGGGTTCCTCTGATTATATCCTGGTGTGGGCCCAGCTCTCTGCTTACCTTTTTGTCTTTTTTCTTCATTGCTTTTAAGAATACATATATTTATTTCTGGGAGTCCAGGTTTGCGGTCCGTAACGATCGCGTTCCTCCTGGGGAGTTGGTGTGTGTGCTCAACTCGGCTTCATCTGTTTTCATTTCCTCCACCCTTCCATCTCTTGGTCCTCATTTGCAAAAGATCTGTCTCCCTGTTTCTTGCTGTCTTTTATTTTGTTCTTTAATTTATTGATACTTTTGGTTTCGCATAGAAAAGAAACCATGCGACGTTTAATCTCCTGTGTCTGGGTTAGTTCATTTAGCAGTGTGGCCACAAGGTGATCCATCTCCTACAGATGACTCGAGCTGGGCCTTTTGTGGCGGAGTAGCGCGCATGGTGTGTGAATGCCGCACTTTCTCTTTCCCTTCATCTGCTGATAGACACATGGGCCACATCCAAGCTTAGCTGTGGTGAGCCGTTTTGCTGTGAACATGGGTGTGCGTGGGGCAGTATAACATGAGGTCTCTAACTCTCGAGAAGAGACCTGGAAGGGGAGTGGCTGGGTGGTAGGGAATTTCTAGTTTTAGTTTTTGGAGGACTGCGTGCTGATTTCCGTAGTGGTTGTACTAGTTCACAGTCTCACCAGCATTCAGTGCCTCCTTCATAGCAGTGTAACATGTACATAAATGGAAGGTTTCATGAGAACAGCTTCGGCTGCCCCTCTAGTTCTATGCAAATGCTGCTGTGTTCGTCTCAGCTGCTTTATATCATGTGAGAAGAATCCCACGACCGCCACAAGTAACAGGTCAAGGGGTGGTGGTGCCAGTCTGCTGTGCAGGCGTCCTCGGTCACCTTCCCCAGGCCCTTGCCTCTCAGTACTGAGTTGTGCCGAGGGTCAGTTAGTTCAGTAGTCAGTGCACATGTTGCCGACTGCAGTGCCTCGGTGACGTGGGATTCACGCAAGCCCCAGGGCGTACTATGACTGATGGTGAGTGCTGCTGTCTTATCACTCTGTATGGGCACTGCCATGGGTCATTCAGGTTAAGAAAACCTCCAAAAGGTAGCTTCTCTAGCTTTCTCTGTGTGTGTGTGTATGTGTGTGTGTGTGTGTTGGGGAGGGTCCTGGGGGTTGAACCCCTGGCTTTCTCACTGAGCTACATCCCCAGCCCTTCTTTATTTTTTATTTTGAGACAGGGTCTTGATAATTTGTCCACGCTGGGCTCAAACTTGTGATCCTCCTGCCTCAGCCTCCCAGATCAGTAGGATTACAGGCGTGAGCCCCTGCGCCCAGCTGCTTTCCCTGTTTTATTGCTGGCTCGCGGAGGCCTGGGGGAGGGCAGTAGCAGGCAGGGGTGACCGCTGTCTGTGCTGGACCCAGCTGCCTTCCCTCGCCATCGTCCAGCCTGTGCGTGCCTCTGCATCCCGCACGGCTCCTCGCCCTTCCTGCTGGAGTTGGTGGAGAGCATACCAGCATATCTCAGCATGGTCTAAACTCTTGCTGCCTTCAGAAACAAGGGAGGAAAACATTGAGTTTCTCTGTAGCTTTACTTCATGTGCCAACAAGGCTGGTGAAGCTCCCTGTGGGTAGTGATGGAGCGGTTTCCTCCTGGGCTCCCCTGGGAGACGCCCCACCTCCCGGGGGAGCACTCTGGTTTTCCCAACTGGAGGAGAAGGAAGTGAGCTGACATTCAGGTGGGCTGATGTCAAAGCACAGTGCAGGGAGGGTGCAGCTCACTGGTAGAGCGCCGCCCCAGCGTGCTCTAGGCCCTGGCCCCGACCCCTAGCACCACGCATCTAGAAGACAGAAAGGGGGTTGCTCAGTGGACTCCTGCGCTGTTTTCTTTTTCAGGTTCCAGGACCTCTCTGAAGGTGAGGAGAATCGGATTGTCATTCATAATGTGTACCCCACCAAGAGCAGCTCTGTCAGATGTTGAGAAACGGGGTTGAAGGTCACTCGCTGACAAGGATGAGAGCCTGACCGGCACTCGCCCTGGTGCAGTGTGAGCCAGAGGCTGCGGGAAGTGTCCGAGTGTGGGGCCTGCACTGCCTACGCACTCTCCGTCCTAGGCACCCTGTCCATGCTGCGGCCGGGGCCAGGCTGCACGTTCTCATGTGGGGTCGTGCAGTGTTTTGTTTCGGTGTTCGTTGTTCTTTAAACTGGGTAAATTTTTACTGGGCCAGGAAGATTACTCTGTGCTTACATACGCGTGGTGCTGAGGAGTCAAACCCAGGAACTTTCCACTGAGCTACATCCCTAGCCCTTTGCTTTTTTCTCATTTTGAAGTGGGGTCTTGCTGAGTTGCCCAGGCTGGGCCTCAGCCTCTCAGAGTGCTAGGAGTGCCGGCATGTGCTTACAGCAGCCTGTCTCCCAGGAAAAGCTGATCACAAAAACAAATGAAAAGAACTTAGAGATCAGATTTTTCTTCTTCATAAAGGATCAAATGAACTGCGTGTGGTGCCACACACCTATAATCGCAGTGCTCAGATAGGCTGAGGTGGGAGGATCATAAGTTTACACTAAATTTGGACAATTTAGCAAGACTTTGTCTCAAAAATAAAAGGGCTGAGGGCGGAGCCCATTGTGAAGGCCCTGAGTTCAATTCCCAGTCCACACACATAAAAAATAGCAAGCTGCTAAGCTCAATGACATCCGCACAAATTGACAGTCCCGTCCTCTGCCCCTTGCTGGGCACTTGCAGTTGGGGAGAGTATCACAGAGCCAGGGCTGAGCTGTGGAGGGATCCCCTGCAATTTGTAACCTGCGCCTTGCTTGAGAAACCCACAGTTTTTTAAAGTGTGTCATTCTCCGTCACCAGCGTCTTGCTCTGGGGTGGAGGACAGCGAGGGTGAAACTCACCCGCAAAGCTCCCGGAGAGCCCGGCTCCTAGACACAGGCGGAGCCGACAGCGTCGCGCTGGCCCTCGAAAGTGGTGCCTCTGCACTCGGTTTCCCCGAGGAGGTTTCTGCAGATGAAAATGACCATGCCCTCAGCCAAAGAAGAAAGAAGAAAAAAAGAAAGAAACCTTCCAGGCCAGCTGAGCTGGAGATGGAGGGAGGTGAGCTGCGGGGCTTCCAGGCGGGGGCTGGGAAGAAGGCACAGTGCGCATAGCCGTGCGTGCCGCCAAGGTAAGCGCGGGTCCTCATGAGTCACTGGAGGAGCAGTTTCCATTTTCAGCAGCAGAAAAGTGAAGAATTTTGTCTCCTGAGTTTTCTGTGGAGCCGTAATTCCAGCTTCCTCATCCAGTGGTGTCTTACTGGAGACAGCACGTGCTGCCCTTGGAGACAGTTTGCTGTGCTGTTGGTTTGGGTTTTTTTCCTGGGCTTTGGTTTTGTTTTCTGGTGTTTTCCGGTGCTGGGCCTCAAAGCCACAGCCTTGCAAATGCTAACCCAAAGCGCTCTGTCACTGACCTTCACCCGGCCTCCTGGCAAAGGTTTCATTCCTGCCCTGGATCTACGGCTTTGACCTTCTGGCCTGAAAGTTTTTGGAAACCTGGCACCCGGCGAGGCACCCAGTCACAGTCACAGGGAAGAAACAGGTGCTAGGGGGTGCGCCCAGCACACTGAGGAGGTCAGAACTTTGCTGGTAGTAAAAGCCACAAAACCAAGGGGCTAGGGATCCAGCTCAGCTGTGAGCCTGCGCAGTATCACCCAAAACAATCCCCGAACTGTGGTTGCTTATCAGCTGTCTCAGAATCGGAGCAAGACTCCCGCAGAGCTGGGAGCTCGCTTACTGTTCTGTGTGTCTTTGTAGGAGACAGAGCCGGTCTTGCTGAGGACAAGGACAGTGAAGGCAGCCTTCAGAAGAGAAAAAGGAGAAAGAGAAAGAAGAGCCATGTCCAGCCTGAAACCTGCAGCCCCAGCGACACGGCCACCTCCCCGGAACAGATCCGGAACGGCGAGGCTGGGGCTGTCGAGGCTGCCCCCAGCTGTGGGGACAAGGGTGGCTTGGAGCTGGCCTGCACTGCTGCCGGGCACAATAAGAGGAAGCGGCAGAGGAAGAGGAGCCTGAGGGCACAGGGGGAGACCTGGGAACCCGCAGTGTTGGCACCCAAGGACAGTGGGCTTCCTCCAGCCGCTGCCGCCCAAGCTTCCCCAGCAGACGGAGCCCAGGCCCCCAAAAGAAAGCGAAAACTTGGGGCTCTTCGGGTCAACGGCAGTGGACTGTCCACACTGGCTTGTCCTCAAGCACAGAAGGAAGGAAACGATGGCCAGGCCACCCTACCCCAGTGCCGGAGGCCTCCGCACAAGAAGGCGGAGCCGGGGAGCCACGACCTCTGCCCCCTGTCCAGACAGAAGACAGCAGTGTCAAAGAAGAGGAAGAAGATGAAGGAGGTGTTGAACTTGGTGGAGAACAACGGTGTCCTGAGGTCCACGGTCAGGCAGTTCCAGGCTACGGTAAGGCGGGCGGGACCTAGGTAGGTGAGCTGAGGCTTGTGGACAGGCATGTCTTTGGGCCACTGCTGCTCTAGGGGAGGAAGGAGGCTGAGGACAGACCTGGACAGGCAGCAGGTAGAAAACGCCGTGGTACATGGCAGGTGCCCGTCTCGGTGGCCACACACTTAAGAGGTCGGGAACGTATGCGTGGGGCTGGAGGTCACCTCTGCCTAGGCAGGCAGGGGCCTCCGTCGCACACTGGCCTTGTCTTCATCCGCCTGGCCCATGTGGCCTTCCTGGCACAGAGGACGCCCAGACTGCTCACAGCGTGCATGTCTGTGGTGAGAGAAAGCAGGACCCGGGCTCCTGACCCGACCCCCGGCCCCGCCCTAGCTCTCGGGAGTTCGGGGGACAGCCCCTCTATCTGTGTCCACACCGTCCGTCCATGGTGGCAGAGTAGAGCAGGGTGACAGACCTTAGCGCCCACGAAGCTGGAAGGAAATACTTCTTCCTGGCCCTTGCAGAAAGGCCTGCTGCCCCTTGCTCAGCACTAGCGTCCCCACCCTGTTAGGCAGTGGCCGTGACGTAGGGCCGTCCCACTGTGGCCCGGCGAGTGCATTAAGCGACAGGACGACCTCTGCAAGCGCGAGCAGAGCGCAGAGCTGGCCTCAGGCATCTCCAGCCCAGACCCCCGACCGAGGGTGTCACCCCTTGTGCTGCCTCTTGTTGCTCTGGCCCTCAGCAACCAGCGTGGTCGCCCCAGGGAGGTTTCCTGTCCCAGTGGAACCAGTGTGTTGCCAGTGTCTGCTGGCGGAGGTGCACAGGAGGACTTCTGGGGCTGCAGAGGGCGGCCAGGAGATTGCAGAATTGCTGGAACCACCTCGATGGCCCCCCGCACCCAGCTTCCCGGACACCTGCTGTTGCATAAGCAGGGCCCAGCCTGCTTAGGGGTTGCCTATGCTGCCCTTGAGCTCACAGTGATCCTCTAGCCTCAGCCTCCCGAGTGCTGGGACGATAGGCAGGCACCACCATGCCTGGCTCATCACACTTTACAAGCTGAATTATTTAACTGATGGACTTTAAAAGGCAAAAATATGGACAGTACAGTGCCTAAGCTTGAAGGTGAAGACAATAAAAGGGGATTTTTATTGCCAAGGAGGTGTTTGTGCCATCAGCTGGGCGGGCGGAGTGGCAGCCATCGTGTGTGGAGTCTGCATGTGCTTAGGGCAGGGCTCTGGGCAAACCCAGACAGGAAACAGCAGCTCCGGACGGAGGCTGGGTGGGGGTGTCCTTGGGGGCCCTGCCCCACTGACCTGATGTCACTTCCGGTGTATATGGCATGACCCCTCCTCTTTTTGCTGCTGCTGTTCTTTTGAGACAGTGTCTCACTGTGCAGTTCAGGCCTTAAACTTACTTTGTAGCTCAGGCTGACCTTGAACTCACATTGATCCTTCCTGCCTCAGCCTTCCGAGTGCTGGGATTACAGGCGTGCGCCACCGTGCCTGTCTGACCCACCTTGTCTTGGCTTCTTGCTCTTCAAACAGGGAAGCAGCAGAACCCTCACCCCTCTGAAGAAACCACTGAGGACGGAGAATGACTTTGTGAAGTTCAACACCCCTGTCTTACCGAAGCCCCTGTTCTTTAGAAAATCAAAGAGCACCTCTGCCGCCCGCCCTCCGGGTGCTGCTGCCCAGGTGCGTCCTCCGCAGCACCCCACCCATGGGGCACAGCCTGGAGCCGCGCCCTCCTCCTGGTAGCTCCTCCATTCCTGGGCGCGGTGGTCATACCTGCGCCTCACAGGATGGGCCTGGGGCTTGCAGAGCCAGCTCCTCCTGAACGTGGTGGTGTCGTGTTGATGCAGAAGAGGGTGACACAAGGGAGCCACACAGACAGCCTTGCAGGGGAAATCGGAGGCAGCGCTTCACAGTGCCACAGGCTCAGCTCCAAAGAATGTTTTGAGTGGGAACAAAAGTAATTTTTCTTTTGCTTTGAGCCACCTCCCCCGCCCTTTTTTTATTTTGAGACAGCGTCTCCCTGAGTCATTAAGTTGTCCAGGTGGGGCTGGAACCTTCCATCCTCCTGCCTCAGCCTCCCAGCGTGCTGGGATGACAGAATGTGTGCCACAGGCTGGGAAGTCTGGTAGCAAGGTTCTGACGGACCCTGAGGGTGGAGGGTTTTAGATGACAGAATCTGTCTTGTCCCTTCGCACCTGTGGGTGAGTTTGGGGCAGTAAACCCAGGTCCTTCGGGGCCTTCCCTCCCCGGCGGACCCTTGGAAAATCTTAGGGAGACAGAGCCCCTTTTAGTCACAATGTGTTACTCCTGCTGCTACTGTTAATTTTGCTCCTGTAGCTGAACAAGACCCCGCCCAGCTCCAAGAAAGTCACCTTTGGGCTGAACAGGAACATGACGGCAGGTGAGTTGTGTGCGCTTCGGGGATCCCCCACGATGTGCGCAGCAAGGGCGGGCTGAGGTCGAGACGCCTCTGCTCCTGGCTGGTGCCGGAGCCAGGCCTGCCTCTGCTGGGGGCCCGAGAATGTAGGTCCTCCAAGGTCACCTGGTAAGACACAGGGTCAGAAGCCAGGTGCCCAGACACCTCCACACGGCATCAAGCGTCTCATGGGGCTGTGTGGGCACATCCTGGTCCCCCGCTCTGTCTGCCTGTGCTAAAATTCAGGAGCGCCTGTCCTTCAAGGAGCAGGGAGAGGAGGGGCGCCCCCACCTTCTGCTCTCACAGCAGTCCGTGGGTTTGTTTATAAAAGTTTCTAATGCGTTTAGAGACCTGGCTCTGGGGGCAGGAGTGTCTGAGGGACAGCACACACACGTGTCTAGTGAACAGGTGCGTGGAGGGTCAGTGAGCAGCTCTCCCAGGCAGCCCGGCCCATCGCAGACCCCTGGCCCAAGGGCCCTGCTGTCCGGTGCCCTTGGCGTGTCCCCCGTACCGGCAGTAGCCTCGCTCCTTCCTCCCCGGGGCGTGCAGGCTGTGAAGGGACAGCTGTCACCGAGTTACCAGGGCCTTCCTCTCCCTTGAGACAGAGTTCAAGAAGACAGACAAGAGCCTCCTGGTCAGCCCCACCGGCCCCTCCCGCGTGGCCTTCAACCCCGAGCAGAGGCCCCTCCACGGGGTGCTGAAGACGCCTGCCAGCTCACCCACCAGCACGGCCCTGGGGACCAGGACGCCGCTGGCCGCCACTCCCAGGAGAAGGCCGAGCGCCATGGACTTCTTCTGAGCGCACAGAGCCGCTTTTTACAGACTTCTTTTATACAGAATATTCTATAAATTATCACTTTCAAAACTCGGCTTTTTATTGTTGTGTAGACGCCCATGGATAAGAGCTTGAGGTGCTAAGCGCGGTGGCCCGGCCACTGTCCCGTCCATGCTGTGGGGTGGGGGCCTCCACCGTTCCTTTTGCTGCAAGCACTCGTGAGCTCCCACGACTCCACCTTGGGCACCTCAGCCTTGGCTGCCGTGCAGAAACCAAAGCCATGCGTGAAGCCTGGCGACGCCCTTCAGGCAGAGCTGCGCCGCGCCGCGCCAGAGCGGGGTGAGCTCGGAGCCTGGAGTCTGTTTCCTCTTGAGAGCGAGCGGGCCTGGTTCCTGGCCCTGGGGCCTCTGGGCGGCTTTCTGACAGCAAGGACTCGAACCAGCTAGCAGCCCCGTGTCTTTCTGCCTGTTCTCAGCGGCAGCAGCTCTGTCCTCAAGGCTTTTCCTGCCCGCCCCTACCTGTCCCCGTTCTCTGACCTCTGCAGCGAGCCCACAGTTGTCCTTGGGAGGGTGGCATCCCTCTCCCCCCGGGGCCTCCCACCCTTGCCCTGTGCGGAGGCCTGGGTGACTGGCACCGCACGTACACGGACCGCCCAGACCCGCGTGACTCGGTGCCAGCTGCGGTCAGCACATCTGGACCCCGAGCTCCCGCCGGCGGAAAGCTGCACCCATGCGCGTACCACAGTCCCCACTGCCTCTTCCCCAAGCCCAGTGCTTGGGCGTAGGTTTTCGTACAACTCTTCTCATCTGCGTGGTTGGGGTAGACGGTGCTCAAAGCTGAACTCTGACCTTAATTGTTTAGAGTTAACTGGGTTGTTGGCTTTATTCAAGGAAACCGCCTTGACTTGGGAGATGGGCAGACCACAGATTCATGACCAAGAGGACATGTGGGCAGTCACTGAGGCCGGGCTCTTCCATGGATTTTGGACTGTTTTTTACTGTTTTTCTGAGATAGGGCCTTGCCATGTAGTTCAGGCTGCCCTCAAACCCACTGTAGCTCAGGGTGGCCTCAAACTCCCAGCAATCCTCCCGCCTCAGCCTCCTAGTGCTGGGATGACAGGTATGCGCCCCCACGTCCAGCTTTTCCTCCATGGCTTGTGCAGCTAGAAATTCTAGGTAGAAGGAAGTAACGGGGTCCATGGTTTGGGCTCACGAGCTGTGCACTGCCAGCGCTGCCACATTCTACCCGGGAGATCCTGTGGTCTTGCACCCCTCTGTCCCTTCACACGGGAGCTGCTGCTGTGCAGCACGGCCCAGGGGAGGCCTCCTGCACTGCCCCCCAACAGAGGACCCCAGGGCTTCACCAACAGGGCAGTGGCAGTGTCCACCCTTCGAGGCCCTAGGGCGGGCATCCCCTGCATGGGAGCAGCCTTCGTGGTGCCTGGCTGGCTGGCTTCCCACGAGTGGGCTTTGCTCCTGGCCTGCTCTCGGGCAGCTTTACCATCATAGGCTGCAAGGAAGAACTAACAGTGCTGTGACGCTGTCCTTGTGATTTTCCTAACAATTCATTCCAACTTTAAATTGGGCCACATGGCCTGCTGGGTCCTCACAAGACCTTGGCTGGCTGCGGCACCTTGGTTGTAGAGATGGTGGCAGCAGCTGTTCTCACAGGGCTTTGGTGACCTGTCTGTCCCTCGACACCAGGGAATGTCCTGCCAAAGTAACCTTGTGCCAAGGCCCTGGCTCAGCGTGTGTCTTGGGTCCTTCAAATCCGACTTCCTTCTGTGCGTAAGTCAGTGTGTTTCTTTTTTTTTTTTTTTTGGTACCAGGAATCAAACTCAGGACCCCGTGCTTGCCAGGCAGGTGCTGTGCTGCTGAGCTACATCCCTGGCCCTAGTCAGTGTGTTTCTGTGGCTTTAAAAAATAATTTTATTGGTACATTACTTTTAATGCCTAAATTCTGGCAAGAGAAGTATTTTTAAATTTTTTTTTCATTACACATACACACAAAAAAGAATATGTCACAAAGGAAATGCATTGAGCGTACCAGTTTTCTGTTTGACACACGATTTTCCTAGGCATACTTGCAAAAAGGACTTGGGGTCCAGAAGAGGAAATAATTTAGTGCTGGTGATCTAACAGGAGTGTGGGTGAAGTGATCCTCTCCTCCTCTGCTGTATAGTTTGTTTTGTGCAGTTCGATCATCAGCCTTGACAAACTGCTTATCCTCTGTGGTGTCCTGAGCTGGATGCACAAGCAGGATCATAAGCACTGGAAGCCGTCATTGGGAAGAACATAAGGCGAGGTCTGCCTTTTAATTTTTATATGCGTTTTCTGTGGATGGCCTGACTGCCAGCAAAGACGATGGTCTACAGTCAATTGTGTTAGCTTCTGGAGGGTGCAGGTCTTATCAAAACAAGTTAAAAAATAGATCTTTGCCCTTAGATTTGTATTTGATATTGGCTATTTTGGGCTTTTGTTTTTTGGGCTTTTTTTTTTTTTTTTTCTGGTTGTCTTGTACTGGGGGTTAAACCCCAGGGCCTTTGCACTGAGCTATATCCCCAGGCATTTTTTATTTTGAGACGAGGCCTTACCAGGTCATTAAATTGTCCAGGCTGGGCTCAAACGTGTGTTCCTCCTGCCTCAGCCTCCCAGAGCCCTGTGATACAGACCATAACCACATCCAGCTTTGATTCGGACTGTTTGTATACATTTAAGCGCACCTCTCTGGGAACTTCTAACCCACGGGGCACTGAGGGTGATGTCAGTCGGTTCTATGTGAAAACAGCAGCAGTGCCCTGCCTGTGCCCCAGAGCTGCTGGGTGCTCAGAGCTGGTCACCAGCACAGGCCTGCGACAGCTGTCACTACCCCAACCACGCTGCCGGCTCCGTGGGCCTGGACTTGGGAGGATGAGTGGAAGGCTGCCAGGGTCCCAGGTGGTGCTCCAGCTCCATCCTGCAGTGGCTGCCTCTGGGTGCTGAGGGCATGTGGGCATCGCTGGGCAGCCATGAGCCAGCACTGCTTCGATAGCTCCAGGCCCTTGCTCCCCATTGCTTTGACAGCTTCAGGCCCTTATCACCTGTTCTTTTGACCCCAGGCAGGTGCAGAGTCATGGAACAAGTAAACAAAGCAGACTTGGGGGAGGGGAGGCCCGATGCTAAAGTGCATTACCTAAAATGTTTAACTTGTGCCAGGCATGGTGGTGCACACCTGTACTTGCAGCACTGGGGAGGCTGAGGCAGGAAGATCGCTAAGAGTTCAAGGCCAGCCTGGGCTGCACAGTGAGACCTTGTCCCATGGTGGTCTGCTTGATTACAGGCTTGTGGCGCCAGAGCTGGTGAATTTTGTTTGAGTTATTGCAGACTTGAGCTGGCAGAGAAAGCATCAGTAAAACTGAAGATTAAGTTGATGGAAATTAGAAGCCAGGCTCAGTGGTGCACATGTGGTAGCAGCTACTCAGGAAGCAGAGGCAGGAGGCTCACTTGAGCCCAGGAGTTCCAAGACTGTGGGGCCCTAAACAACTGCTGAGTTCAGGACAGCATCAAGTACTCCACAGCAGAGGAAAGCTCCAGGAGAGAGGGGAGGAAAAATAGTCCAAAGATAATGGCTGAAATCGGCCTAGTTAGGCCAAAAAGCAGTAATCTGCACATCCAAGAAAGTAAACACTTACTCAAAAAAATATATGGAATGAGATGTTTAAAATATTAGAAGAGCAAACGCCGTGCCCAGTAATCCCAGCTCCTCAGGAGGCTGAGGCAGGAGGATCATGAGTTCCAGGCCAGCGTAGTAATTTCACAAGACCTTGTTTTAAACTTGTAAAAAGGGCTAGTGGAGTGCATGCAGCACAAGGCCCTGGTCCCACTCCCAGCACCGCCACACACACAAGAACGGAGGCTGACTGGTTACCACACGGGCTGCTTCTGCCACGCAGCCGCCGGGCCTCGCCTAGCGAGGCCACCTGCCTGCAGCCGTCTGGTCCTCCTGTCCCATCCCTGTGGTGCCCTCTCCAGCTCTGCGGAGGTGACTATGGATCTCCAACTCCACGTCTCGTCATTTTCACGTCTTTGTCTCTGGCTTCCACTTGCATTTTTGCTTCAAATCCATTTTCTAGTTTAATATTTTTTTCACATGCATATGATCTCCTGTTCAGCCTATTTGCTCAGTATTTATTTTGACCTGATTCTCCTTTTTGCCCGTTACTCACCACCTTCCTCTTGACCAATACACGCTGTTGCCCTTTCCCGTCACCTTTTTTTTGACCACTTACTGGGGAGGTACTGTACTCCTGAGTCTGGCTTATTTCGCTCAACAAGATGACCTGTAGCTCCACCCACTTTCACAAAAAATGACAGCGTGTGTTCTTTACGGCTGAGCACTGCTCTGTCGTGTGTTTGTGCCACGTGGTGTTTGTGCTGTCCGTGCATCTGTGCAGGGGCACCGAGGCTGGTTTCATACCTTTGCTACTGTAGACTGTGCCATAGTAAACAGGGTCATGCATGTATCTACAGAATACGCTGACAGTAATTCCCCTAGGTGTATACCAAGGAGCAGCACCGCTGGACCAAATGTTACACTAATTTTAGTTTTTTGAGGATACGTAGTATGGTTTCCATAATGGTTGTACTAATTTACATTCCCATCAGCAAGGTAGAAAGTTTCCTTTTTCCTGCATTCTTACTAGTACTGTGTGTATGTATGTATGTATGTATGTGTCTGTGTGTATTTCTTTTTGTATTCTTCAAGATAACCATTGCAGAGTTAGGTGGAATCTCCATGCTTTGCTTTTCATTTTCTTCGTGGCTGAAGACGTTGAACATTTTTTCACACCCTTATTGGACATTCAGATCTAATTAAAGTAGATATGGATTCATGCTCTGTTCCCAGTGGCACCCTCGCACCGCACTGCTTATTCCAGAATTCTCTGTTTATTTGTAACTGTTTATTTTAAACTGTAGTGGGAGACAGTACCCTAGTTTTCTGTAGTGGATATCTCACTGTCAACTGGTAGAGTAGTTTCAGAGTGGCTAACACTGACGCGTGTGAAAGCACGTGGGCCCGGAGTTCATGCCCAGTTCCAGAGTCTCACAGGACCCAGGCAAAGGTCTCTTTCCCTCTGGCTTAGGTCAGGATGTGTCATCAGCACCCTCTTCCGTGTGGCTATGTGACATTTCTAACAATCCCTGTGTGCAGTCCATCTCAGTTCCCCTGACATTCTCATTGACGTTTATTTTCGTTCATCAGACAAAGCCTTACTATGTTTTCCAGCCTTTCAATCTAGAGTCAAGAGCTCATTCTGCCTCAGACCCCCTATTAACTGCCTCAGCCACCTTGCCTGGTTATTACCGTGGTTGATTTTCAAATACTAGAATAGAGTGAAAGTTGCTCTTTTCAGCACACAATTCATTGTGTTATGACAGCTGTGTAGTCACGAGCCCACCTCCATGTTTCCATACAGAGCTCCCTCAGTGCCCTGAACGTTCCTTCATGCTCCTGCTTTCGAGTTCATCCTTCCTGGCCCCATCCTGTGACAACCACTGGTCCCTGGGAAAGCCTAAAATTCCACCTGCTCTGCACCATCACATGCAAAGACCCACCTAGTACCCGGGCTTTGGGGTCCGACCTCCTCCACTGTTGGAAATGCACTGGAGACTCATTAATGCTGTGTCGTGAATCGGGGTTTATTTTAGTTTATTTTTATTGCTGCGTAGTGCTTTGGTGGTGGGATGCCCCTGAGTCTATTTACTCACCTGGGACACGGCTTTGCATTTGTTTCTAGCTTTTGCCAAATATGAACAAAGTTGAACGTATGAACAAAACGAGGTTTTTGTTGAATAACTAAGCTTCAGGTTCTGTCAGTAAATACCTAGCTCTGGGGTATCTGGATCATACGAGAAATGTGTGTGTAACTTTACAAGAAACAGCTAAGCTTCTTTTAAAGGCGTGACCACACCGTTTTGTAATCACAGTTCTATCTGCTTCAAATCCTAACTAGTAGCCAGCCGGCAGTATCGTAAGTAGCCGGTATCTCACTATCACTTCGGCACTGCTGAAACAGCACTCTGCTGAAAGCAGAATCCTGTATTATTGCCTTCACTTTCTCTCAGCACCTGAAAGATCCAGCCACACTGTGGACTGCCGCCATTGTTTTTCCACACCATGTGGGCTAATGTCTGTATTGTAGTCCACGGTGGGTAACATTTTCCAGGGTACTTTTGTTTTTTGTTTTTCGGTTTTTTTTTTTGGTCTTTTTGAGACAGGGTCTCACTGTGCAGTTCAGGCTGGCCTTGAGTTCACGTTATAGTTCAGGCTGGCCTGAACTCACAACAATCCTCCTGCCTCAGCCTCCTGAGTGCTGGGATTACAGGCGTGCCCCACCACACCTGGCCACCCACCTGGGTGCTTTTAACAGTTTTTTTGTTTGCATTTTAGTTTCACTATGATGTGCCTACATATAGTCTTATTTGTATTTTCATGTAGGGGTTTGTGAACTTTTTTGATTTAAATATTTAGGTTTTATAGCAATGTGTGGATATTTTCAACTGTGCCGAGGGCACAGCCCATCCTGGGGCAGCAGGGGGGCCCAGCACAGGTGTCATCCCTCAGCCGCCTGTCTTCCTGCCCGGCTCAGAGCTTGCCATGCCAGTGACCTAGGGCTCCTCAGCCCTTTCCCTGAGCAGGTGCTGTGCAAGCCCCCATAGCACCCAGGGGCTCTGCTGGGGGCTCCGGGCTGCAGCTGGGCAGTGCCGTGGGGCACGCAGTATGGCAGGAGCATTGAGCGCCCTGGATGTACGTGCATCTTGAAATAAGGAACACTTTGATTTTATTAAAATAAATGCTACACCAACGGGGAAATGTGGAAACAGGAAAACAGGGAAAAGAACAAAAGGAGACATTCCCAGGGGGGCAGGGGAGGACCCAGCAGCGGGAGCCCCACATGGCACACGGTCTTTCCCCTGCTCCAGGTCTTCCTCGAAGGCTGCCGCTGGGGAGCAGTTCTGGCCCTGCAGTGGCAAGAGAGGGGCAGGAGAAAAGAGTCCTCCATGACAGCCCCTCCCTGAGTCTCTCCCAAGGCCGAGCAGCCCCCTCCTGCCAGAGAAGCCCCGGCCGCTGACCCCACAGCGCACACCGTCCCCACTCGGGCCCACCCGGGCCGCGATCCCAGCCTCTTCCTTGGCTCCTGGCCAGTGGCAGCCTCTGCAGCCTCCCCCTCCTGGGGGGGCCCAGTGTGACCCCTGCTGCCACCCCCCAGGCACCCACCCAGCCTCTCACCCTGGAGATCCTTCACACCTAGTGGGCTCCAGGTCTGCTCAGGAGTCCGCACACTTGTGGGACGATTTGCGAGTCTGGCAGGTTGACGAGTGCATAGGCCACCAGCTGCTTCAGGCTGGCCAGGTCTGGGCAGCGGCAAAAGTCTCCAGGGTACTGGAACAGCCAGGTCTCCAGGAGGGAGCTCAGAGCGCTGGGGCCGGCGGGCACCAGAGTCAGAGGCCTGGCCTCTCCCCCTCCCCGCCCTAGCCTGTCGGGGACCCTGAAGGGAGGGCTGCCTGGCAGAGCCCGCCCTGCCCGGGGGCAGCTGGGCACGCAGGCCGGGGTGTGGGGCCCATGCGTGAGCTGTCCGCGCCCCACACCTCCCGTGAGGCGTGCCTACACCACGGCCTGGGCTCTCCTGGCTGGGGACGGGCTGCCTCGGCTGGATCCTCAGCGGCACCCGCTGGGAGCCCGGCCGCCCTTGCTGGGCGCATGCGCGGGACCCGGGCCACACTTCTGGGTCTTCCTCCTGCTGGAGGTGCGGCCCCGGACCGCAGCCTCTAGGGGGACTCAATGAAAAGTGAGGGAGCCCCGGTTTTGCCAGCCCCACAGAAGCCCAGTTCCTCAGAGGATCCCCACCCTGCAGACAGGAGCCCTCCCTCTTAGCCCCAAGCCCTCTCACCTCTTGTTTTGCTGGTCCTCCTCAGAGTCGGGGTGGAAGAACCTGTACCTAGAAGGGCCAGCAGGGTGTGACCTTTGAGCACCCACTGTCCCCACCTGCCGGGATGTCTAGGGGACGACCTGATTCCGGGGATGGGGATGCAGGCAGGAGAGGCTGAGAGGTTTGTGTGTGCTGCTCCCTGAAGCACCGCCAAGTGTCAGGAAAGGTGCTCGCGCACAGTAGGTGCTTTGGACACATTCCGCAGGGGATGAGCCCAGCCAGCTGAGCCCTGATATCTCAGTATGCCGGGTACACAGTCTGCCCCTAGGAGTCCCTGCTCTGGATTCATTCGGCAGGAACCTAGGAGAGTGAAGCCCTGGGGAACAGCTCCTTCCTGGGGCAGGGGAAGCCCTGCAGCCCCGGGGCACTCACCCAGCACACAGCCAGACCTGGGTGGGTGCTGTGGGGCCTCAGCCAGCTTGGTCCTGTCTATACCATCAGAGGGGTGTCCTCTGAGCACCCCAATTTCTACAGAGCAAATTGGGCCACACAGTGGTACAGGGCATTCCTAAGAAGCACCGAGGAACTGGTGGGTCCCCTGGCTTGGAGGTGGGGCTCACCTGAGGAACAGCAGATCCAGCACCTGCCGCGTGGTGGCGAACTTCCTGTAGGTGGACAGGAACGCGGGCACGAAGAAGGGGTCCCCGCGGCGATGGGCAGGCACCAGCTGGTTCACCAGCTTCTTCAGTTTGCCAGGCTGGAGGGTCACCACCCTGTCAGCCTCCTCCAGGCTGGCATTTTCGCCCTGAGGTGGCACCAAGGACAAGTTCAAGCCTGGCATCCATAGCCAACTCGGCAGAGCTCAGCACCCAAGTGAATCAGTGCAGAAAGAAGCCCCCTTGATTCTCCCACACCCACACACGCACTCACCACACACAACCCAGGAAGGGTTCTGGGCCACCCCGATTGATCGGCGTAACTCTGACCTGTTCCGGGCTGTCCCATGTCATCTTTGAGATCCTGGGGTTAATGTGCCATAGGCGCCAGGGGTGGCACCTGTTCCAGACTGTCCGCATTTGGACAAGACCCCCACTCCACCATCTCTTGTGGCAGGAACCTAGACAATTTGTGAGACAACACGACCCCATTCTCCTTGTCTTGGAGTCTCTCCAGGAGTAACTGCAGGCAGACAGCCTCTGGAGTTCCAAGTTCTGTTTGATGCGTTGTCAAGGAAGTGAGGTCACTTCCTGGGGTCCCCCTCTCTCAACTGCCTCTGCAAAGACATTCCAGCCCGCAGGGCTGCTCCTTCCCTACCTACCTTATGCAAAACTGGACACATCCAGTGCAACATTTGCTGCCCTACTACCTGCATGCAAAACCTTGTGCAGTTGGCTCACAGTGGGTGGACATAGCTGGTTTAAGAGCCAGGCCCTCCTACTTGGTGTTAAAGTTTAGGGGCTTGCATCGAGGATTAGAGCAAGGTTTGTGCAAGGGCTAGGGAAAGGGTTCAGCTGAGGGCCACTGTGATGTCTAGGGCTCTTCTTAGGGTTAGGGTGAGCGTCAGGGTACAGCCTTGAAGCAGGTTTGAGTGTTTATTGCAGCAGGTAGGCGTACGGAACTGCACTCAGCTTAGGTTGAGACTTTTACGTAAAGGTCAAAGTTAAGGTTTTATGTAATCATGTACGGGTTACATATGTAAGAGGTCATGCTAGAGTTAGGTCTATTAGGATTTGTTCACTGCTCATTTTAGGGCTAGGGTTTTGGTTAGTGGTCACGTTGCGTATTCTTTTCATTACTAAGCACATTGATAAAAAAATTATACTGAAGGAGAGGAAATGTAGGGTTAGGGACAGTGTTAAGTGAGGGTGAAGCAGAGTGTGAGGGTGAACGTTATGTTAAGGGTTAAAGTGAGTTTTGGCGATTGGATAAGAGTGAGGGTCCGGTTCAAAGTGACTACAAGGGTTAGAGTGAAGATTAAGGTTAGGGGTTAGGTTAACGCTAGGCTTTTTGTTCCGTGTTATGGTTTAGGGATAGTGTGAGCGTTTCAGGTTAGGGTAAGGTTTAGGTTTTACTGTTGGGATGAGGGGATAGGGTTAAGGTTAGGGTTGGATCCTGGCGTTAGGTTTTAGGGTTAGTGTCACAGTTAGAGTTATGATTGGGATTAGGATTCATGTTGGATTTGGGTTGCTGCTGGTGTTAATGTTGAGGTTGGGATTGGTGTTAAATGTTAGGGTTTAGGATTAGAGTTTGTTGCTATGGTTAGCAGATGTGTGTAGACTTAGGGTGAATATGAGTGTTAAATTTAGAGGAGAGGGATATGGTAAAGGTTAGGGACAGGATGAGGATCTGGGTGTGGGTTAGGGTTTAGGGCAATAATTTGGGGTTAGATTCAGGGTGAGTTTAGGGTTAGGGTTAGGGTTAGCTGTTAGAGTTTTGGTTTAAGTTAGTGTTAGATTTAATATTATGATTAGGGTTTCTATTAGAGTTAGGGCTTAGTTTATGTTCAGGAGTTAAGCTGAAGATTAGGGTTATATGAGTGGCCTAGTGTTAGGGTTATGTCTTACAGTTAGGGTCCAGGTATAGGTTTAGGTTTTAGTGTAGGGTCAGATATATGGGTCAGTGCTAAGGTTAAGATTAGAGTATCAGGGAAATCTGTTTACAGTAGTGAATTTGACAGTGTCCTTCCTTTTCAATTTTATGAATATTTGGAGGAATTTGAGCAATAATTCTTACATGTCATTTGTTCTGACTAATTTAGTCTCAATTTTATTGATTTGCACCTAGATCTTTACAATTTATTTCTTCTACCAGTGTGGATTTGGATGGTTCTTGTTTTTAGGACTTCAAGGTATATAATAATTGTGTCAGTTTGAGGCTTATTTTGCAAGGGGAACAACATAATACAGGACACATACTTTATATGATTATTTATAAGTCACCCAACAACAGTATACAAAAGAGTGCAGGGAATCTGTCCACACACTAAGACCAAGGAATCCAGCTGAGGGCCTGGAACCCACAACAATGTCCTACATGAGTTGAGCTGAATACCCAGAGCTCATAACAATGCCTTCCAAGAATCCAACTGGAGGCCCAGAGCCCATGACAATGTCTCATGCAGGCCTGTTTCAGGGATCTGCTGGGAAGGCCCAAAAGTCAGTGGTGGAATCTACAAAGTCTGTGCCAGCGGGATGAAGGACCTGTGCTAGCAGGCTGAGGGATCTGCACTGGAGCCAGGAAGTGATGCTCAGAAGAACCAGAGCTCCCCCAAAAGAAACCACAGCCATCGTCGGCAACAGTGAGGTCCCGAGCTCCTCCGACGATCAGGATGGCTGAGTTCCCATTAGGGAAGCCAATGCAGCAAGCTTTTCCAGGAGGCCGGCAGTGCACCATCTTCCCCTCCGAAATCAGGCAGCTATGCTCAAAGTGAGGACCAGAGCTCCCTAAAGTGAACCAAAGCCATTCTCAGTGCCAGCGAGGTCCCGAGCTCCTTGGAGGATGAAAACAGCCAAGTTCATCAGGAAAGCCAGCTCCCCACAGTCTCTCTCAGCTCCCAACAGCCTTCTTCTTCTCTTCCAGGTCTGCCTCTTATGCTGCTGGCAACAGTCCTCAGGTGGGCCTCCCACACCCAGCACCACACTCAGTTCAGCTGGGGGTTATAAGTTGACCACCAGTTATCGGTCCACTACAATAATGTTATTGATTTGAGATTACTCTATTGTACTGTGAGCATTTAGCTATAAACTTCCCTCTTTGAACTGCATTCATTATATGCTATGGGATTGGTGTGTTTGTTTCCATTATTGTTTGAGTATAAGAGTTTTTAAATTTTTCCTTGATATCTTCTGGGACAAATAAGTTGTTACAGAATGCATTATTTAATCTCCACGTGTGGTTTATTAACTAATGATCAACTGGATCACCCTGCTGAACTGAGTTAGTGTGGTGTGAGGGGTGGAAGACCCACCTCAGCATTGTTGCCAAGAGCATACAAGGAGAAGGGGAGGGGACGGTGGCAAGCTGTTGCTGGGAAGCTTGTCACACTGGCTTTTCTGATATGAACTCAGCTGTCGTCATCACCAGACAACCTTAGATCCTCGCTATTGCTGAGGATGGCTGCTGTTCTCTTCAGGGGAGCTCTGCTCCTTGAGTGTTGCTTTCTGGCTCCAGCACAGATCCCTCAGCCTGCTGGCACAGGTTTTTCATCCCACTGGCACAGTCTTTCTAGCTTCTACCACTGACCTTTGGGCCTTCCCAGTGCAGATCCTTGATACAGCCTTGCATTAGATATTGTCATGGGCTCTAGGCCTTCATTTGGACTCATGCAGGATATTGCCATGGGATCCAGGCCCTCACCTGGATTCTTTGGGTCTCTAGAATGTGGACAGATCTTTTGTACTCTGCATTTGATTTTTTGGGTGAAGATTATAAAATAATCCTATAAATTATGTGTCCTGCATTAAATCTATTCCCTTGCAAACACTGACTACAACACCATGTATTTGCATAATTTCTGTGGTTTCTTTTCTTGGTAATCTGTGGTTTTATTCCACTATGATCTGTTAGTATGCATGGGATTCTTTCAGTTCATTTGCACTAATTTCACCATGCTTTATTGCCTAAAACAGTGTGTATTCAAGAAAGCTCTACCTTTAATATAGCAGCACAATTTGTAATAGCCAAATTCACTTAGTTATTTTTCTCTTGTTGCTGGGAAAAAATACCTCATGCCAAAAATTAAGAAAGAAAAGGTTTATTTAGCTCAGTTTGTGGGGGGTCTCAGTCCATACTCGGCTGGCTCCAAGGCAGAGTGGTACATGGCCGAGGGCAACTGTTCATGGTGGCAGAAAATGGCAAAAACAGCAAGAGTTAAAAAGGAGGAACAGTGGGAAGAGCAAGCCTCTTTTCCTCCTTATATTGTATGCAGGCTACTCACCCCAGGGTGGGTATAGCACTCACATCCATAATCCCAGCATTGGATCACGGATCAATCATAAACTCTAGAAGCCTGCACCCATGACTGTATGAGGCCTTGGGGGGGACATCCAGACACAAACCATAGCACAAATCTTGGGAAAAGCCCAAGTGCCCATCACCTGGTGAATGGATAAAGAAAATGTGACTTTTTTATACAATGGAGTACTACTCTGCCATAAAGAAGGATAAGCTTGAGACATTTCTATGTAAATGGATGCAACCTGAGAGCATACTCTTAAATGAAATAAATTTGACACACATGTGTAAATACCACATTGTTTCTCTGGAGAAACTGAAAGTGTAAATAAGGACCAAAGTGTAGAATAGGTATTGTAAAATAAGAAGAAAATGTTCAAATGGGGAGGGGAATAGAGGAGGGTGGAGGGGGAAAGAGGTGAAAAGTAAAAAAAAATTTAAAAAGAAGAAAGAAATGAAAACAATGCTTTTTTACATGGGGAGGAAAGAGGAGTGGAAGGGAGGGTAGGGGAATGGGAGAAACAAAGGAACAAGTTATATCGTGTGCAGGCACAAATTGATGATTATGCAATCATTAAGTCTACCTAAAATGTACCAATAAAATTTTCTGATTGAAAAAAGTAAATATATAGATAGATAGATAGATGGATATCCCTGGTCAACTCAAGCACAAGGGACAGAGGGGCTGACCACAGCGCAGAGGTGGAGCAGGGCAGACACTGGACCTCAGCTCTTTTGTATATATTTTTCATTTCTGGTTTTATTTTTATTATTATGTTTGGAAAACATGTCTACATAGAGAAAGACTCTGGCCCACTCTACTGGCCCTGACATGGCTCAAATGAGCAACCTTCTTCCATTCTTTCTGTTCAGCCTGGAAAACTATGAGGAATGATCAGTTCTGCTGATTCTGTTTTTTTTTTTTTTGGTTTTTCTCCGGTACCGGGAACCGAACTCACGACCTTGCGCTTGCAAGGCAGGCGCTTTGCCACTGAGCTAAATCCCCAGCCCCAGTTCTGCTGATTCTGAAAAAAGGCACGGCAAGTCATAGAGGAGCAGGGTAGAGCCAGCACCATCTACGTGAGAACAATTTTAGCACAGAAGAGTCAGTTTTAGATTATACACAAGAAAAAAGGCTCAGGCAAAGTAATGTGACATGGGAGGTCATGTAATGCCAATGTGTAAGAACTGAGAAAAGCTATCAAAGGCAATGATGGGGTAACATAAATAAAGTTACAGAAGAAACCCCAGGCAAGAGA